TGCAGAAATGCAGTTTTTATCTTCTAACCAGTCCCAATTTGCAAGGGTCAGACCAACCACCTTCACCTCTGCTGGAGCAGGACCTTCAGTCCTCTCRCATTCTGCATCTTCGCTCTTCAGTGATCCTGACCAGCTCTTCCCAACASCATCCTCGCGTGCCGCTTCCCGGGCCACGGCAGGAGCTCCCGAGGTTACACACCGTCCCAGCCTCCCTTCTCTGCCCGCTCCACATGGCTCCCTGGCTCGCCTCGCTTCAGCCCCCAGCCACAAACCAGCCCTGCTGCACATCCCCCCAGTGCCCTCGCGCTCCCCAAGCGCTGCCACTCGCTGCCCGCCTGCAGCGAGAGCCCCGGCTGTCACAAGAGGGGAAGCAGCCCCCGGCGACACTCGTGACATGAGCTGACAGCCACAGATACACACACTGCTAGTCACCCTCCCGCTTGTGTCCCGCGTTTCGCAGGGCCACACACCCGGCCCACGGTGTCACCTGCCATCGAGTAGCTGAACTAGCTACCACAGGGACAAGAGGAAGGGACAGAAACCACCCCAGCACGACGCTGCCTCTCCTCCACAGCTCCCGCCTCTACTCACTTAACTGGCTGCATCCTTTCCTAAATCCCACTTGGAAGTATTTCCTTATTTTTCCTGCCCCTCAGTAAGTGCTCTGCTGCTGCACACCCCATTTCCATCCCTGGATTTTGCACCACACTGAGCTGCATTGGGAAGCTGCTCATAGCAAAGCTGATTGCACTAAAYTGGAGCTTTCATTAAGAGCCTGTGCATTAAATTGTAAACTCTGGGGCTCGGCTGTGCTTGAGCAGCATCTTGGACAGCAGCCTGGGCTGAGGAGGGCCATGGCTATTCCTGGAACACATTATCTACCAGCAATCACGTCCCCCATGTTCCTGGCACGCATTCACCTGCAACACCGGGTCCAGGACCGGGATTTGCCCAGTGCAGCCCTGGCCTGCRTTTCCCACGCAACGCAAGAGCCTGACGCTGCCAGAAAGCAGGAGAGGAGGGATTTGGCAGAGCTGCCCTCTGCCCACACCAGTGCTTTGCTGCAGCAGGCCAGGACGGTGCACACAGGCACGCACGGCTGCCCCTCACACCACGAGCCGTTTGCAGCCAGGTGCAGGACTCGCTCCACAGGCTGCTGCCATCCTAGGAGCCGGGCGCGCACCCCRACGGGCTCGTCGCGGGCGATGGAGTGCCGCGAGCAAGCAGCACTCGCCCGGCCTGCTCTCCTCCCACGCTCTGCCCTGGCACCCGCCGTGCTCTGCAGCACAGCCCAAGGCTCCGCGTGGCCGCCGCCACAGTCCTCACACACCCACCAGGCAAAACAAAGGTGAAAGCACCAGGCCACATCTTTAATTCTGAACAGTTTTAACACTGTCACGTCCACCAGCACCTTGTCCTCTGGAGCTGAGCATCTGCTCCATGGTTGCCTTCTTTCTCCCCTGCTTTTCAGTCAACTTTGCTTTGCCTCCTCCCTCCATTCCCCCTTTACTTCCAAGTGCTGGGAAATGGTGGAGATTCCTAAACCCAACTTCCATTCCTGCCAAACAGAGAAATCATCATAAATAAGAATAAATGAGCAGATGCTCTTAAGAGGCATCTAGGTGTTCCTGAAGCTTGATAATGGTGTTACATGCAGAGAGATTCAATAGACCAGCCCCAGTAAATCACTTATGAAAGGTCAAAGAGCTTTTAAGTTGCGTCTTGAAACGAAACGCCCAGCACATACCCATCCAGGTAAAAACACTTCACAGCCTGCCTACAATTACAGTGGGCAAGAGGACTCCTGTGCCCAAGCTGAATGAATAGAGCGACGGGAGAGCTGAGAACATGAACTGCCTGCGAGGACGGGGCTGTAACCCATGACACAGCACGTCCGCCCATTTGCTACGGAAACTATGTTTGGCAAGTATCAGGTGTCTGAGTTTCTGCTTACATACATCTCCCAGGAGAGCAGTGTATTAATAACACAGGCAGTCTAAAAACAGAAACTATCACCAAGAAGTTRCTCTTTGCCTGAGATTTTCCTGCTGTAGTCTAGGTATTGCTGGACTTACCAGCTTGACTTTAATAAAGCAGTACAGAGTTTTGTTTCCTTGCTCTTCACATTTGCTAAGTAAAGTGATCAGAATTTGAGGAAGATCAGTAAAAAGGGRAAAAAGGCAAGGAAGGGAACTGAACCTGGTTGGAGAACATCAAGCAGGGCACGAGCCTGAAGGAACCAGCATGACAAGCTCTTGCAACTAGGGAGAACAGCCCTACGCATAGCCATGAGTCGCATGCCCAATAGCCCAGGCATGATAAGCAATATGAAAAATAGTCAAACATAARAAAACACAGCAAGTAGGCACAGCAAGCAAAGGCAAAGCACAAGGCACAGAGGAGTGCAGAGTCACAGAAGCAGGGGAGCAGGAAAGGCAGAGCAGGGAGTCAGAACGGGAAGCATGGGAAGGGAGATGCGCAGACTAATGACAGCAAAATTTGACTGGATAAGTTAAGTGTATTTTATAAAGTGTATCTCAAGAGCAGCCGTAAATCAAGTGGCCTCATCAGTAGCATGTATTTTACTGGCACCAGAGCAACATGCATATTTGTCAAGAGTYGAACCAGATTCTTCCTGTACCGTCATATTGTCCTAAAGATCCATTAGCAACTGGTACCTGAGACACCAGTAAAGCAAGTTGGTTTGTGAATCCAGGCACTCACTTCCTGGGAAACCTCACAGTAACAGAGAGCAGCAAAAAATACTCAGCGTGCACACAGGTGACGTGTGCTGCCACCCAGCGTTGGGACTGCATTCAAGAGGGCCAGAGAAAGCASAGCCACGTTTCTTGTTGGTTTGGATCTAACAAATCTTCACTTGCATAAGGCTAGGAATATGCATTCTGAAAGACAGCTGTCCCTTGTGGGCACATGTGCTCCGTTCCTGTTGTGTCACTGTGCTGTACGAAGAAACTACGGCAAAATTTCTCCAGAGCTGCATGTCAGTGTCTGAGAATCGAATCTACATTTCAGATTCCCCGGTTACTAACAGATAAGCAATGCCTACTAATATTTCTCTGAACCACTCTGATCAGATTACTGTCAAAATCCCCTCCAGAACTTAACTATGGGCATATTCTCCACAYGTTTGAGGAATAAACACTGCTTCCTTTGCATTAAGTTTACAATGAGAAAAAAAGAAACCCTGCAGATGACTGGCCAGGATGCTTCCCTAATATGCCAARGATGGCAAGTGTTTGATATGAAGCCATGTTCAGGAAGCCACTTCGATGGCTTCCCTGACAGCTCAGTGACAAAGGAAAATAATCCGAGTCACTTGCAAATGTCATGACGAATATGACTTGCTCAAACCATCAGGCCACGGGACAGAATTAGCCAGCAAATGGATCAAATTTCTTCCCCTCTCCAGAATTAAAAGTCTCAGAATAGCCCGGATTCAGTGCTGGCCACCTACTTGAGCAGCTAGTTGTTATGACCTAGACATTTCTCTGAACTCTTTTGCCAAGTTTGACCTAAGCATGTTGCCCAGAACTCAGACTGCAACTTCTGTATGTTTCGGATGTGCAATAAAATCCAAGTTCTAATTGCACAGCCAGGCTGCGTTTTCAAACAGCACAGGGTAGGTACAAGCGTCAGCCACTGGCTACTGAGGCTGCCTCCCACATCTTGCTTCTTATCTCAGCACCCTTTAAAGAAAGGTCATGTTCACTGAGCAGTAACCAACAYTAACAGCTTTCCAGGAGCACAGAGCACAAAGCTCATTCTGCAACAGATTCTCAGTGAAAATTTCAGTAGAGGTAAAACTGTCTGTTGCAGAAGAAACTTCTAAAAAGTATTTCCAGCTAYCGTGCTAACTCCAGTGAGTAAAATACAGCTCTGTAGGGTTTAGTTTGGATATGCAGTTACCCAGTTCACATGGGCAAGATTAACATCATTGAACTGAGTACATAAGCTTCAAGAGTAAACTCAGCTTTGGCAGGTTAATTTAGAACAAGGAAAAATCTTGCTGCAGAATAAAAGAACCACRTTTAGCTCTCCCATCTTGTACTGTCAATGACACAAACCTGCCTCCCCATCCTAGATCACCCACCCAGTGGATAGATTACTCACATGTTGTGAGGTGCTTGTCACCTCCTGATGCAGAAGTTATCCTTGTTCTGCAGAGTGAAATCGGGATACACGGAGGAGATGCTGGTACAACCCAGGCTGGTCCAAGCACTGATGCATCTTCTTACAGCAGCGCAGAACTCTGCTCAGCCCRAGGGCTGTTAGATATAAAGTTGCTGTCACCACTGGCTCCTCTCCACAGCTCTGCAAAAAGACCCTAGAAAGGCAGCAAACTTGGCAGCACTGTAGACACTTACAGGAAACAGTAAATGAGACGTACTGGGTTTTAAATCCACCCATCTTTAACTCAAGTTCCTTGCAAGTTTTCTGACCAGACAACAGCAAGTTTATGACACACATAGTGCCAGAGAATTACTGAGTCATCTTTGCCTGGTCAGGTCAGAGGTAGAGCAGCGTGTCAGAGGTACAACCCCAAGCTTCTGCTGAGTGAAGGGCATCTTTCAGAAATACGTGAGAAACGAAAGAGTAGCTGCGACTCTGGCTAAGCTACTAGCAAGAGGATAAACCTAGCCTACATCCTCAATAGCAGAGAACACTGTCACATAAAACAAAGCTTGCCTGCTTCGAGAAAGAAATTTGGATTTTGGATTCAAGTGACACCTCAGTCATCTTCCCTCTCTTCTCACCCCCTTCCTAGGCTCAGTCCCAATAAGCTCTCCACAGCCACCCACATCTCAGCAAAGGCTGAGCTGCCCGGGCACTGCTGAAGGCAGGGAGGAATGGCCATATGTTTTCCTTCAGGGACAAAAATACCCCTCCACCTGTGTACCTATGTGACAATTCACATACAAACAGATATTCAGTTGAACAGAAGAACCACTATCAAAAACCAACACAAAAAAGGWTAAAAAAGAAAACCTTTTTATAGACTGTCACTAATTATTAGTGTAAAATACAACCCCATCAGCAAACCCTGCACAGACAGCCTCACATCTTGCAAAGCAGTGAGTACTAGAGAAGTTACAGAATTAACTGAAGGTCCCAGCARGCAGGTCAGAACACTGGCATGAAAGTAAAGTCAAGAAAATCTGTAGCTCCCGATAGCTAAAGAGGAGATGAACACATTCCTTGAAAGGCTGCAACACTACAGTCCAGTAAGACAGACTGACACACATCAGCAGAACCAGGAGAAGCTCCCCCTCACCAGGYTTGGAGTTAAGGAAAAACTTAGCTACAGACACCATAACTTTTAAGTTTATTTCTGTTTCTTCAGGTTTGCTTTTTTTCTTTTCTGTTTCTTTGGTCTCTGCACAGCATTCTCTACACTGCTGGGAGGCAGTCTGACAGTTACTTCCTTGTCCTCTGTGTCATCATCTGCCTCGTGAGCTTTCCGGCGCTCAAGCACTGTAGGAGTACACACCGGCGTAGGATCCTAAAGAGACCAGAAAAMCAAAATTTACTACAGAGCATCTGCAAGAGACATCTACCACAAGACACTCGAGCCCAGCTATCCATCAGAACTTCCACACTTAARGAGAAATCATTTTGGTTTTAACTAMTTTTCTCCACAGCATTTCTTCAGTTTAAAAGTCAAAGCCAAAGGGCAAATATGAGTGAAATTGTATTTTCTAAAGTGCTGTTACCACATTTAGAAAATCACCATGCATATTTTCTGACTCACAGCACTGAGAAAGTTAAGCAAAAGATAGTCAACAATACATCTATATTTCAGACTCGGATAYAGAAATGGCACATTTCAAGCCTACAGCAGGGCTTGAACTTATCAGGAAACTCCCAGAACTCAACTGACCTCACATACAAGTTCAGAGAGCTACCACATATTCTCAAAACCAGCCCTTTCCCGAGCAGTGCAAACATTCAAGAAAAAAAGTTAATAGACTCTTTAGATTATCAGTGTCTCAAATCTTAGCCTAAAGCCCTGATCTTTCCTATCACCGATATGACTTTTAGTGAACACACAGACAACAAAAATATGCGGAACAGAAGCATTTGCTGCWGAAATATTCATTCCTTTGTTAAAGACGAGGAATCTGAGTGGATTCAACCACTATTTCCCATTCATGCACCTCAAAGCAGCTGTTACCACTGCAAAGGACAAAGAAAATGTCCAGGTTTCCAGGGAATTAAATCAACCACAAGGACTGTTCTGTCTTACCTGGCTGTTCAAAGAAAGATCCAGCTTCAGCTTGGATTTTTTAACTTTCTTTTTCTTTATGGGAAGTTTTTGTGCTGCCTAGGAAGCAAGAGAGATCAGGTGAAATCCMACTGACTTCCACATGTGAAGACAGTGTCACCTAACAGCCTGTAGACTTCTTTGCTTCAACAATTAATTTGAATGAATAAAAATGGCCTATGCAGAGACTACTTGATTTAAACAAAAGCATCTGTAGCAACATACGAAAAGCTGTCAGGGGGCATTTTTCAAATCCCACAAAGAGAAAYAACGTTGCTCAAATCACAGGTCTACAATCCAAGCACTTCACAAATTAGCAATATGCTTGATTAGCACAGGCAAGGTACCTCTCTAACCCCCATGTACGCAGACTACACTTATTTGCAGGAGTTTCTACACAAGAACCTCTCTTACTGCTCTGGATATAATAAAATTCTCATAAACGACATGATGTTCTCGGATCCACTGAAAAAACAAGTTTTGCTTAAGCACTCATTAAAATGATCCCAAACTTACAAATCCRGGGAAGTCATAATCGAGCCCCTTCTCAGCCAGCCTCTTCCGTAAGAGCCTCTCCTTCCGGAGCAGCCTCTTTGCCATCTTGGCCTTCTCGCTGGCAGAGCGAATCTTGTTGTAGCGCCCGACTGCGGGCTGCGAAGGCTTCCGGAACTTCCTGCCGCAGTCCTTGAAGAGGTCCTTGTGCACCCTCTCGGGAGGTATGAACTGGCCTGCGCAGGAAGCACCMCACGTCACACCGGAGCGAGGCTACTCCCCTCAAACACCCGCGGCTCTTGATCCAACACAATCCGCTCCCGCAGCAAGGCCCTACACAGCACTTCACCACAGACCGTAAAGCAACTAAACACTTCTCACCGACAGGACTGAAAACAGATGGATAGAAGGGGAGAAAATGCAATTTTATTTGAATTCACAAAACAGTCAAAATATAAACCCATTTTTCTCCAGTTGGGAAGCATATATAACTCATACTGCTTTAGAATACGATTTTTAGCATCACTGTCTGAAAAATGAGTTCATTAGTTTTTCAACTGAAAAAAAATCTCCTAGCATTTAACTGCATTGAGAGCAGCTGCAAGGGAGTTATGTTATAAATTAAAAAGAATTTCTGCACTAAAACTTGCTTTACAGAAAATATCTCCCCTTACTAAGATTCTGTATGGTATTGTTATACAATAAGCAGTATTACTCTATAGAAGAAAAAAGTAATAGTGAATAGGAGACTGCTGCTGCTATTCTTTACACATAGAGGAAAGCAGGAAAGTTTCAGCCACAGAGAGAACTATTTCAGGCTGAAGCTTTGTAGACAAACAAGAAGCTTTAAATAATAAATATATATATATATGTAAGTATAAGTTTCCTTTGCACATCGCACAGTTTACACCTTGGGTCATACTCACACTTGAGAAGTCTTTCGCAGAACAGGTAGTTGTTCATYGTGTCTGCAACAATCTTGGCCACATCATCGGATTCAAACTCAATAAATCCATAGCCTTTACTACCCCCGGTCTGCAAGCGACAGAAGGAAATCCAAAGCGATGCTTAGAAACCTCACTGAAAAGCTAAACTATTTTATSCATCAGAAATGAAGGCCTATTTTCAGCTGAACTACTGTAATTTCTGAGATTTTGAGGAAATCACGATAAGCGTCAAGTTTTGTCCTAGATCTGCAAGACAGATCTGTATCCACAAATACATATCTGGGCATGAAACAAACCACTCACCAATACTCTCTTCTTATACAGATATTAAACGTCCCTATATTTGCCACTTGCCTTTCATTACCAAGTTTATACAGTACTGTAACACTGTAACATGGCAATACAAAAAGGTGAAACAGCGTAAAAAAGTTTAAAGTGTAAAAGCTAAATTTATCAAGCACAAAGCACTTAAAGCGCTAAAACAAAACCTGTTGCGAGCACTTTTGCAGCACACACTTTAACTAGAGCATTTTGACAAGAATGCTCCCCTCCAGCTCCTCCCCGCGAGGCGGCGGCGGCTCCGCGGCTCCGCGSCCGCTCCCTCGGGGCTGCCGCGCCGCGCGGGCGGCCGGGCCCGCGTTACCTTCTTGCTGCGGGAGAGGCGGAGCCGCGTGACGGTGCCGAACTGGCTGAAGTAGCTGCGCAGCTGCGGCTCGGCCAGCCGGCGCGGCACGTGCCCCACGTACACGGTCCCGGCCGACGGCCGCTCCTGCGGGCGGACACACAACAACAGCGCGGGCCGTTAGGGAGCCGTTAGGGAGCCGTTAGGGGGGCGTTAAGGAGCCGTTAGGGGGGCGTTAGGGGGGCGGGGCCGGCCCGGCCCGCTCACCTTGGCGGCGCGGCTCTGCCGCACGCGCTGCACCTTCTGCTGGAACTCGCGCTGCAGCCGCGGCTCCAGCGCCAGGAGCGGAGGCGCCACCACCGCCTCGGCCGGAGCCGCCGCTGCCGCCGCCTCGGCCGCCATGCCGCGATCGCCTCACAGGCCGCGCTGCCGGAAACGCGTCACTGCCGCCGCGCGCGCCGCTGCCTGCGCCTGCGCACTGCGCGGCACGGGGCGCCTGGCAACAGCGTCTCCTGGCAACGCGGCGCGCCGAGACCCCCCCCACACACACACACACACACACACTCGCCAACCCGGGCCGAGGCCCCCGCGCCCTCCCACTCCGCCCCAAGCCTGTCCCGGGCCGCGCCGGGGTCGGCACCGGCCCCGCCGTGCGGCAGCTGCGCGCAGGCGCGGCACGGGCAGCCCGGCGCGGGCAGCGCGCGAAGCCCCAAGGCGGGAGCCGGCGGCGGCGCCATGTCGGTGAGCGACATGTTCATCGCGCTGCAGGGCGTCCTCACGGCCGACCAGGACATCCGCGAGGTGCGCGGCGCCGCGCGGGCCGGGCCGGGCCGGGGGCTCCCTCCCTCCCTCCCTCCCCGCCGCTCACCGCGCGCTCTCCCCGCAGGAGATCCGCAGGGAGGTGCAGGCGCTGGAGCAGACGGCGCGGGAGATCCTCACGCTGCTGCAGGGCGTGCACCAGGGCGCCGGCTTCCAGGCCAGTGAGTGCGGGCGGCGCCGGGAGCCGCTTCCCGCCCCCGGGAGCGCCGCGAGCCCAGCGGGGCCGGGGCCTGGGGCGGGCGGAGCCGCAACCCTCCCCTTCCTCCCCGTCCCTCCCTTGTAAAGTCACCGCTGCCATAAAAATGACCCTTTTCCGTATAGGATCCTGCGGTGGGGAGGTCTGCGCTCGATCGTTCTCTCCACTGTTGAATTGACTCACGTGTTTCCCGCTAACTGGCGCCCCAAAACGTGCAGTTTTATGTGCTGCTAATTGTGGGAGTTGGGATCCGCGCTGTCCTTCCCACCCCCGGCAAACCCTGGGATGCCGCGAGGGGAGCAGCAGCCTGCGGGAGTCCTTGCTCTGGTCGCGCGCGCACACATTGAGTTCCGCTTCATACTGAGACCTGAATCCCTAAACGTAAAGGTAAATTGCAGAGGCTGCTAAAGCCAGTGGCAACTGGAGTTGCACCGTCGCCTTTTAGGGTCGAGTTGGAGCACGCCCTTACTTTTGAGCCAGAAAAGATATGAATATATTTGAGATAATGTTTCGGGCCAAAGGTTTTGCTCAGGGACATAAGAGTATAGGTGCAGACGTGGATGCTGGATGTGCTCCCTCATCCCCACTCTGCTTTAGAGTTACTGCTGAAGCTGCTGCCATAAGCAGGTTTCTCATTTCGGCACATGATCTAGAGGCCTTTCAGTCCTGTCAATGTGCTTCTCGTCTTCTGGAGCTGGAGAGGGACTTGGGGAGCGAGGAAAGGCCAGGCCACCGTCAGATGGAGAAGAAAGAAATCCCAGCTCAGCCCCCGTTTGGTTCCTGCGTCACGGGCCTGGGGCGCTCAGCCCYGCTGCTGTGCTCGCCCTGGGTGGGACTGCCCTGCTCTCCTGTGAGCAACGGGCAGCACCCGAGGCTCGGCCTCCCCTGGCCCGTGTGACTCCCGGCTGCTTAGGAAAGCCACCAGTTCCAGCTGCACATTGGAATGGATAATTGGCTAATATTTAGTTAAATGTGCTCTGATTTTTCCAAGCGGGCTGAAACCATGGATGTTGTGACAATTGTTTTGCATGGGAATCATCCGGGGGGGGTGATTCCCCGTATTTAATAGGAGAGACCTGTATGTGCCTCAGTGTGTGTTGATTTCTATTTTAATTCTAGGGAGTCTTGCAGGTCCCGAGTCTTGCAGGGGCCAGGAACAGACCTGTGCAATAGTTAATGTACCAAAAAGGAGAACGTGCAGCTTGTAATTTTTGCCAGATCAAAGATAATGAATGCAGCTCTAAGAGGCTAGGAATTAACATATGATAATAGGCCTGTCAGTTTGACATCAATTTCAAGCAAAATAACAAACGTCGATAGAGGTTTTCATTAATAAAGGTTAATAGCACGGTAATTTAGTAGCAATTAAATAGCAATTAACCCAAAGATCTTTATGGGGAAAACTAGCACTTGTCAGATGAYATGTATTTATACTACGCTTTTAGCTGATGGTGGTTGTAGTGCTGCATGTAGTGCACTTAAATGTCTGTTTAGCTTAGTATGACGTTTTGTCTGCTGACTCGGCACAGTATTTTCATTACGAAATTAGAATTGTCCAAAACCCCTATGATTCTGTTTTTCTGATAGGTTACAAAGGGTAAATGATGATTCTTCAAACTGATGATTCTTAAAACACAGTTAAATTTTGCAGTATCAAGCTTTTTGCACTCCTGTATTTATTATTCCAAGATGCAAGAGAAACTGTTGATACAGTTATTAAAAGTTCACGGGTAGCAGAAGGGTAAATAACGGTGCAGTTGTGTTTCCACAAATGGTTTATGGTAAGGAACAGCCTAAGCTCTCTCAGGATAGTTGGCAGTTTGATAAAGGGCATTCTGCTCTATCAGGGGGTAATATTTAAAAGCTCACRTTGCATAAAGCTGTTAGGGATTTAAAATACCTCTTGGCCAATCCCATTTCTGTACAACTTTTTCATCTAATTTCTTTTACTGTGGGGCAGCCACCTTCACGCAGGCAGGAGCTATCCCRTGGCCACACGCTGTGGCTCAGTACCAGACTTTGCCCATGGATGGTGGGATGCGGGAGGCTGGAGGACCRTGTTCGGAGAGCAGTTCTCAGGGAGCTTCCGCTTGTCTTTCACTCTCACTCCCATATGAAACACCTCAACCTTCTACKTTCTGAAGCTTTCATTTTTAAATCCTTTTGTTTGTTTGTTTTTCTGATTGACGGTAATGTTTGATTAGTAAAAACAAGTTTTTAGACAGATGCTGAAGAAGTGACTGCTGGTTTGATAGCAGTCACCCCGGGATGCCTTTCAGGTAATTTCACCCCTGAGTATTGTGAAATAACCACAGCTCCGTAGTTCAGCACGACGGGATGCTGCTCCGCTGACCGCCTGCCCTTTGGGGTTGTGTCTGAGACGGCTGCAGTCGCACGGTGCCAGTGTCACTGGCGGTGGCAGCTGTGGTTGCCCAGCGGATGGGAGGCGCGTGGGCAGGCGGCCGCGCTTCCCGAGCGAAGAGGCAGAGCCCCTGCCCCGCCAGGCCAGCGCTCCGGGGAGCGCGACGCGGCTCCCGGCGAGGCTGCGCCTCGCGCTGCCCAGCCCTGCCTGCCCGGGAAGGGTGCGGGGGTCCCCAGGGAAGCAGAGCTGCTCTCGGGGTGGCCGTGCTGTGCGCACCCACTGCACCCAGCACCTCCTCCTGCTGCTGCTGCTCGGCCCCTGGCTTTCGTCTCTCCTCAGCTGCCGCACCCGAGCACTCTCTCAAACATCCTGTTTCTCTCTTGTAACACCTAAAACCCAACTACTTTTCCCTTTCGCTTTGCTCCATCCACACAGCTGAGACTCTAAACATCCCGTTTCCTGAGCTTGCGCCCTCCTCTCCGCTGCCTCCTTCCTTCAGCCCGTGGTGAACGTAGCGGCCCCTTGCCGCTCCAGGAGGCTGCCACGTTTAGCTCTACCCCTGTCACCTCTTGTGTCGATCCTTCCCTGGCTCCCTCCTATCCACTGCCATGGTTCTCAACTGGTTTATGCTGACAGGCCCTTGAACGTTTACCAGGGAAGGTCTTTGCTCTGCGCAGTGAGTCAAGCTCTCCTGACACTCCCCCTGCTTCTGGCAGTTACTTTTCACTGCTCTGCTACATCAGATACAGCCTGCCTGGCCTCGCACTCGAGACCTTTTGCAGCCTTTCTGCATCCCTGCTCGTCAGTTCTCCTTCATCCTTGCTGATGCATAACCCTGATCACTGCATACTGTTAAATAACACCGAGACAGCCCCTCTCAAGTGCAAGGACTGCACAAAACCCGGAGCGTTTTCCATTTGCCGGTGACTCGTGGTAGTGTGACGACCACTGCAGCTGTAGGACAGTAAGTCAGTCTTGGACCAAAGGGAGCTGGGTGTTTGGAGAAGCACACACACAGTGCTATCTGCGTTAGAGAACTCTTGGCTTTCTTTACAAAATCCTGCTGTTTGTCAAATACTGAGTGTTGCCCTGCTTCTTTTGCAGTACCAAAGAAATGTCAGAAGGCCCGTGAACATTTCGGTACAGTCAGAACCCAGCTGGCATCTCTGAAGACCAAGTTTCCTGCTGATCAGTACTACAGGTGTGCAGGATCACACACAGCCAAACATGGCTTTGAGATTTGCTAGGCCAGAGGTGGCCTAACTTCGCAAGAGTGGTTTAAAGGTTTATGGGCCTTGGATGCTAATAACATGCACCTTTCTGTTCCAAAAAGTAACCAGTGGTAGAAAAGTGTGGGGTTTTAATAGCACACTTTGACAACGCTTTAGCTCAAACTCTTTTTTTTTTTTTTCTTCACTAAAATGACTAGTATTTAATGCTTTTCCAGAAAGTTTAAAAAAAAATAAATTAAACTTTAAGAAACCAAAGCTGTACTGGAGCAGCCCTTGTTTCTAGGAGCAGAGTGTTTTTCTGTTCCATTAATTTCAATTAAGTTGTTAGGATTTGAGCACCTCTGAAAACAGATCCCTGAATCTGTCCTGAGGTGGCTGCTTGATCCCAGGGATTCTCCATGAAGGAGCCGCCTTGGCATTTCGCTTGCTGCCAGAAGGGGACAGTGTCTAGCAGGAACACAGCAGGGAGTGGGGGCCTTGTCAGCTGTCCTCTCTTTTGTGGGCATGACAACCTGCGTGTGTGAGATGAAAGCAAACGCTAGTTTAACATAATATCCTAGGGGCTGAAATTTTGGAGTACTAAGTTATTAGTTAGTGCAAGTTATATAATTTTTCACCGGAAAGCTGGTGCGTTTTTGACAAACCATAGAGATGTGTGTAAAGGTACAAAACATAATGTGTACAGTAGATATTCAAATGCTTTTGGCTTAAATTTCCAGTAAGAGATGTTGTCTATTTTTACCTTGACTGGGAACCTTCTTCAACAGGTTTCACGAGCACTGGAGGTTTGTGCTGCAGCGACTGGTGTTTCTGGCAGCGTTTGTTGTCTACTTGGAAACAGAAACATTAGTGACCCGAGAAGCTGTGGCAGAAATACTTGGGAGTAAGTTAATTTTGTAAATCAAAGGGAGAAGGTGGCAACGTCTTTAGATGTTGACTCCGCAAGGTACAGGAAAATAGCAGAGGTTTATATCTTCCCAAGAAATAGTTTATAACATTTATCTGGTACTTGATTTCATTATGTGGTAATTTAAAAATTATTTTAGAAGGTGGAAATCAGAAAATACAATATAAACAAAAGTATTATCATAGTTCTTCATGAAGATTATTTGTTTAAATCTTCCAATACGAAGGTGACAGTTTATTTTTCTTACCTTTTTTTTGCAGTGTTAAGTAGGTGGGGAAACAAGATCTCATTCTCAAAAAAAAAAAAAAAAAACAGTAAAATATATTAATGGAAATTCAGTTATTCTCTTGGATCAATTATAACCTGTTGTGTATCCAGTTGAGGATGTATCAGATGCTCAGTCAAAATGCTGAGAACTGTAATTACATCATGTACAGGAAAAGGCTGACTTTTATTTTGTAATAGCATTTCATAAATTTGATATTTCCAGTTAGCTACAGCAAACAAATGCAATTTCAGCTTGCTAGTTTTGATCATGTTCAGTATCAGTTTAGATTATGACTCTGTTTTTTATCTTAGTTGAAGCTGACCGAGAGAGAGGCTTTCATCTGGACATAGAAGACTATCTTTCTGGTGTGTTAACTCTTGCCAGTGAGCTGGTAAGGAAACTCTTTGTGCATATATCTGGATAAAATTAACCTAAATAAGCAGCAGCTAGTGTCTTTCCAAAATTCCCTAAGTTGTTCCCAGAAGTTAGTGTGTTTTGCTTGGATCTTAACCTCTGGGATGCTGCCCTTGCCCCATGGTGACGTTAGGCTTATTCCTCATTGATATTCTAAGGTTTAAACCAGCCACTTCACTGAAAATCCAGGGCTTTGGTGAACAAAAAGGTAGATCTGAGTGTAATCACCCCGACTCCTGCGATGATGCTGCTTCATTTTGTAAAGAACCTGCTGGGAATCCTGATGTGGTTTGGGAGGATTCCTCGGCTGATCCTGTGCTTCCTCTTGCAGGCCAGGCTGGCAGTGAACAGCGTCACGGCCGGCGACTACTCCCGCCCTCTCCGCATCTCCACCTTTATCAACGAGCTGGATTCCGGCTTCCGTCTCCTCAACCTGAAGAACGACTCCCTGCGGAAGCGCTATGATGGCCTCAAGTACGATGTCAAGAAAATTGAGGAAGTGGTTTATGACTTGTCAATCAGAGGACTCAATAAGGAGGCAACGGGTGGTGCCGGTGGCGAGAAATGAGGGATGCCCGTTTCACTGGCATCATTGATTACCTCAGATGGTTGCCAATTCCGGAGGCACATTAGCAAAGCCCTCCTGCAGTAGTTTAGAAAAACTGCAGCTGAAAGCTGCTCTCTATTTTCTTACAGAATGTGTAGTACGGGTGTTAGATCTCCAAATGTTTTGTAAAATCATGCCTAGGTTAGGGCAGCAAGCTCCCTGTTTCTGGTGAAATCCCTGTGTCAAAACCCATCRCTGCTCTGCGCCCAGCAGCAGTGGCTCTCAGCAACTCTCCTCAGCTGAAATTCTCATCACTCTGCAGTGCTGCTCTGCTGCTCTGGCAGTGATGTGGTTCAGCCATGTCTGCTCACACACCTTTGAGGACGTGTGCAAATACACATGATGTTTTAAGAAACACACTCTGTAAATACCCATACATTCTCATAAGACACGGATTCGTTTTTGCCTCTTTTTCTTAAATTTTCATATACTTTAATAAGTTGAAAGGAAGAAATTTGCATAGCTGTTTATTACTCAGATCTTCTAAAATGGTTTCAGTTGATGCATCAACTCCCCCTTTTTTGAGAAATGGGTGAAAAAAATCCTGAGACTTTTGTCCATTGGAACTGGCATATTGAACCCAGGCATATATATATATATATTTATATGTGTATATATATGCATGCACACAGACACGTGTGCATGCATATATATACACATCGCTCTCTTTTTCTCAGACTTTTTTTTTCTCTTTGCTCTTTGAGTGGGAATTTTGTTACCACTGAGAGCAGTTTTTTTTCAAACACCTGCTTTCCCYGGTTGGCATTTGTTTTAATGACATGAGTAACTGCTGAATTTCAGAAGGATCATTTACTTGAGAACTCTGTGTTCTCAAAATTTCTCTTGAACTACCAAAGTGTCCAAATAGCGAAGTGTTAAGTGATAAACTGCAAGTAGTGTTTGAGTCCTGAAAGCCTAAATAGACCACAACTTCCCCAGTTTCCTGGGATTAAAAAAAAAATATATAGTTCATGTAGTAAAATGTTTGTATCTTCAGAAAATGGGAAACTTAGTTTTAGATAGTTTGCATGTATTATTTTTTCAGACAGGAACAGACTCTCCCATTTGTGAAATGGACACATTCTTAGCTCCCAGTGTGTTTGTCCTCATGTCCTACAGGACTTTTTGATTTTGAATTTTCCCCTTCTTTTACCACTCTGTGGTCCCATAGGGTTAAGAAGAAAAACTAACTTTGGGATAAGAAATATTTCTAAAAGGTGAATATGAACAATCAAAGTTACCTGTTTCATTTTGTTGGCAAAGATTTCCCATTGTTTTGGTTATTATTTTTTTATTAGAAGAAAATGGTTTCTTGGTTACTTTGGCCAATAAAAACTGGTCTGTGTTTTTGGCCATTTGGTAATTCTGTCTCTCATCTGATTCTTTGTTGCTGTTGTTTGTTTTCCCCTCCTGGGAGCCTAGTCTGAAATTCCATAATTCAGATTCAGTCCTCAAATGTATTTGGACTGTAATGTAATTCCTCACGTAAAAGCTGCTAAATGGAGSACTCTTATCAGCTGGCAACTGGAACATAAGTCAAGGTGTAAATGGATTTCATAGATCTTTTTTTTTTTWWWAAATTACCTTCTAACTTCAGCTTATTTCACCAAGTTAAACAGGAGAGCTCTGGAAAGCAGTTAGTGCCACATCCAAGATGTGGAAGGTTCTTCAGAGGTCTCCAGACAGCTCTTGCCCTTCTGACATCTGAGCATCTTGTACCATTTCATGTTTGTCCTTTGTATCTTTTGTCACATAACACAAGGAGATACTAATACCCCCTTTCCACAGCCGAAGAAAATGAGGGTGTAACTGCTGCCACCAGCTTYAAAAGTAGCTGTTTTTACTCCTTGCCACTACTTGCTTCCTTTTCACTTGTACCCAACAGAGGTGGGAAGAAGGGGGGAACCTGAGCCAGAGACTCATGAAACATTTAAGGCTCCAAGAGGTGGCCTCTCTGGCCAAGGACACAGAGGAAATGTGTGGGAGAGAGGAATTAGGCAGAGATTTCCTGAGCATCCGCCTCACATGGCAGGCGCGGGGGCTCCTGGCATGCAGGAGCAGGGCAGGTCTCGGGCTGCAGGGACGGTGTCTGCTGAGGCGCTCGGCCGTCTGTGCCCTGGGCGCTCTGGTTGCTGGGTCCTGCAGCAGGTCTCCTTCCTCACCTGGGATCCCGGGGGCCAAACGCAGCTTCTCAGCAGGTCCTACGTTTGCCAACTGTTGCATGGGATGTAGGTTTAGGGAGGCAGTGAGAGACACAGGATCCTGCCGCAGATGTTCCCAAGTCCTGTCTGAGGAAGGGAAAAGGGAGCAACAAACTTTCCCTCTAGTCTGCAGAAGAGAAGAGAAATACCTGAGGGCAGAATGTAAGGAAGATGGGGCCAAACTCTTCTCAATGGTGGCCAGGGACCGGATAAGGRGTAATGGGTGCAAACTGAAACACAGGCAGTTCCATCTCCATGTGAGGAAGAACTTCGTTCCTGTGRGGGTGACAGAGCCCTGGAACAGGCTGCCCAGGGAGGTTGTGGAGTCTCTTTCTCTGGAGGTCTTCCAAACCCACCTGGATGCCACCCTGTGACCCRTGCTCTGGGTGTCCCTGTTGGAGCAGGGCCTTGGACTAGATGGTGTCTAGAAGTYCCTTCCAACCTCAACCATTCCRTGGCTCAGTGAAAGCTGGGGATGGGAATCACACTGCTCTCCTGGACGGCAATGGCTTTTGCTTCTGGCGGCAGTAGGAGCAGCATGTGCTTCTCCTGACTTCAGGAGCGGCTGAAGCGCTTTATCCAGTGGGAAATGGGATGAGAGATGGGGCTCTGAAGAGTGCAGAGCTCTGGGGGCGAGGGCTGCTCACCATGGGTCAGATGCACTTGAACCTCAGCACAAACAGCTCCTGCTCGGTGCAGTGGGCGCGGGGGCTGCGCGGGCTGAGTCAGCGCAGGGGYGCTGCGAGGGGTGACTCAGCGGCCAGCGCTGCTGCTCTCCGCGGCACTTCAGCCTGAAGTGTGTGCCAGGCAGGGCTCTTCTGGGTCATCTTGGGGCTTCCTCTCTGCTTTTTCCCCGACCTTGACGTCATTTCTGTGCATTCTCTTTGCTTCAGTAAAAAGGGCACYTAAATGGTTGATTAACTGTTCTTTATTTATAGCACTGTATGTTCCTCTGCTGCAGATCAATGGAAGTGCTGACCTGGAACCATGCAGGAAGCTGGGCTGAACAGAGCTGCTTCGCGCAGGATGCGGGGCTGGCTGCTTAGCAGACCCTGTCTGGGAGCACTGGTAAACTGCAGCCCTACTCCAGCAAAGTCTCTGAGCTGGCACCTGCCAAAGGCCGTGTTATCACTTCCAGACTGCCCCTCTCTGGTGCCAGCACAAGCCTTTGTGCGCAGGACGGGATCAAAGAACTGATCTAGCTGAAAGGGTCGTTATTTTTCAGGCGGGTTTGTTCCCGGTGTGGTTCACTGCACAGTGCCGCACGCTCCGTGCCAGCACATGGAGGGAGGCTCCTGCCTCTGCAGGCAGTGCCGGCTTAAAGTATTCACCGAGCTGTGTGGTAAATTGTCTGATTTTCCTGCAATAATTTTAACTGTTTCCTGTGCTGTTAGGATTGCTGAGCATGGTCTTTCTGGGCAGGTAACTCACCTTCCTTTTACTGCACAGTGATGACTCCTGTGCCATAGAGCATCACTCCCCTTTCAGCTGGGAAGGTCTCCACAGGCCTCCAACTGGACTGGAGCAGAGAGTAGACACAGTGACTCATGGGAGCTGCGCATGGTCCCAGGCGCTGGTTTCTCCTCACTAGCCCACCTTCCTCACTAACGTGCTGCCTGTTGATGGCTACGGTGGGGTAACAAGGCCTGAAGGTGTGAGAGCTGTTCAGAGAACTGACAGCCTGTTGAATTCCTCTCTGGTTTCCCTCTCATTGGCCAGCCCTCCACACAGTGCCTGGATAGTCCTTGGACACTTGTCCTCCCAAGGGTGCTGACATGGGCATGGGTGCTGCAAGGATTTTCTCTGCACTAGGAGGGAATGGCTCAAAACCAACATCTGGAGTCCAATTGCCATTGAAAAATGATTCTTTTGGCCTCGCCACTGCAGGACACCTTTTCCTAGGAGAGCTTTCTTGCAACCTGGGTCTCTTCAGTTGAGGACTTTTCTGAGAGATGCAAAGGCCACGCTGGAGGAGCGAGATGGGACTGAGCTGGAGAATTGCAAAATTATCATTATATTCATCTCTGCTCACAGAGCTAATGATAGCTTTTCAGKTGCTTCCAATCAGGTAACTGATGCCAATCAAACCCAAGCGGACATCAGTGCTAGAGGATGCCCTGCTGGGCTTTCCGTTCCTTGTTAAGATTMTTCATTCCCTGCTGATGGGGACCCTCTCTGTCTCTATTGCTCAAGTTTTCCATTCATAATATACAAAAGTTTCCATTACAGAACTGCCTTCAGGGTGCTTGCTGAGGGAGATGCCTTACTTACCTTTTTTWATTTAATGAATGCCCTTGGGGGTTGCCAGGAGGTTTAAAACTGTGCAGTGCTACTCGCCGATCTTTGATTTCTTAATCAACTGCACCTTTCTCCAGTCTAATCCACATTCTGCAGCAGCACATGTGAGAAACAGACCCATTCTTTTGTCTGCCTGACAAAAGTATGACATTTTACCCTGCCATTTTCTAAGACAGGGACAGAGGATGACTCACAGGTGACACTCACATACATGAGCATTTAGCCCAGGTAGTTTTGACATGCAAACCTGACCAAACTTGGMATGAGACCCTGCCTCACTGAAGTGACACCTGTAAGTGCTGATTCCATATCTTTGTCCAGAATTGGATCTGAAATTTTCAGCCAGAACATTCCTCTGGATGCAGGCTGGATGCCTCTCCACCTCATGGGGGTGTAGTTCCTGGCACCCTCAGGTTGAGAGAATCCCATGGGGACGTAGCACCCCTTCCATCTGCACTAGGGTCATCACTCATTATCACTGCAAAACTGTGGGGTTCCTGTAAGAGACTTTTTTTTTTCCTTTTTTTTTTTTTCATTTAGTAAGTCACAAGCAAGACTGATCTTAAATTGCTGTGAAAGATGGTATACGAATTTTGTTAAGTCGGTAGTGATGGTCTGGCTCCCTATTTTTTTAATCTCTCTCAACATGGTACATCCAAACAGAGTATGTCCTTCTGGCATGCTTATGCTAGCTGGATAAGCTCAATTGGAAGGATTAATGAAAAGTAACTCTAGGATCATCACTTATGACTTCTGAGAGGCAAAAAATGTTACAGCGAAGGCCGGTTTGGAACAAATACTCTCTTGGCCTGTAGATGACCTCATTCCTGAGTATCACAAGTTAGGTCTGTTAATCAGAAGTGGAAAAACACGGCACAGCTGATCCCCGGGGCTGCCCTTCAGACGTGTGCCTGTGACACCAAAAGACCTGGCGCTTCCCAGGAGAGGGATCATCCGCATTCACAAAGGTACCTGGGGCTCATGGAAACCAACTGTGTTATCGTGGTGCCAAGAACCACCCACGAGCCTTCCCGTGTGGGCCCGCAGACAGCACGAGCAGTTGGGGGGCCAGAAACAGCACTCTGTGCTCGTGCTCCCTTTCAACACCTGCAATTTAAAAGCAGGCGAGCAGCTGAGTACACACCGGCCACCAAAAAGATAAATACTGTTCAACACGAAACCTCTGTGCAGTCCGACGGCTTCCCCGCTCGCTCTGTTGCTTGTTGTAGCAGGCTGTCCAAGATGAAAGAGCTCGCGGCACTTCCTGGCCGCAGGCATCTTAGCACAAGGCGACAGCACCGAGGACACGTCCTGCTCGTAACTTAACACCGGGAGATTATTTATGGACTTGTTTTGGGGAGAGTTTGTCGGTTCAGAGGAAATCGGCCATGTTTACGAGGAACCTGGCTGGCAGGTGTTTCCTGTGATACCTAGAAAAAAAAATGAGCCTGAAAATTGAGTAGTTATACAAACACAAGAGAGATACTAAAATACAGACTTASGTATAACATAAGAGGCTTTTCTGCTCTAGCCTTTTGTAACAGCCAGGATGACGCAAGGTACCTTGATTTAGAGATGTGACTGTACACACAGTCCATTGCTGGGTTTGATTGCTACAGAGAAAATCACTGCTCTGGAAAAACACTTGAAAACTTTCTGGAAACTGCTGCTTTCTGTGGGTGTGAAAAACACTCATTAAAATTAAGCTATTAGACTTACTGTGCTTGTGTCTCCTCGTCATATAAATGCCACTGGAGGTAATGAAGGGACAGTAGCTGAGCCATTTTGGTCATGAAAATGTGCTGCAAGCTGTTGCTTTTTGCTCAGAACGTGAACAAGGCTTGAAGGCTGCTACATGCAGACCTGTTACAAGAGCATCAGAGCATCTTTCTCCAGCAGCTGCTCCATTTAGGCACCATTTTACTTGAAAAATAAACAGGGAACTCTTAAGCAAAGCTATTCATTGGCTGCTCTGTGTGTAATTTGGGAAATTAATTGTTGCCTACCTTGACTAGAAATAGCCAGTCCAGCGGAGGAAGTGGAGTGACTGCCCTGAAGGCACGTGGCCAGCTATCACTCAGGCCAGCGCTCAGCAGTGAGCTGCCACCCAAAGACATTTGGCCCCCTATGCTATTCAGCTCAACAGGGCATGTGCCAGTTTCCCTGAGCATTGGGGTTTTCCATTGGATTTCCCTCTTCTTTCATTCTCCTATCCAGGTATTTTCCTTTCTGTGCTAGCCTTGAGTTGAAGAATCTCACTGTGCATTGAATAGTGCCCCTGAAGAAGGAGTGTTGGTGTTTCAAAGGTCAGCAAAAGTCCTGCGCGAGACCAGGTCTTGTATGGGAGGACACAACTGCTGCCTCCTGTCCTCAGCTCTCCTCGGTCTGCCGAAAAGACCTTGTGGCTGCCCGTGGTGAAGGCTGACAGAGCCGGTGARATGAGCTCCTTCTTGCTGCCCTAAGGATGAGGGAAGAGGTGCACAGCCTCACATTTTCACCGAGTCACTGTAAGTGTTTAATTTTTAATATATTGTGTATTCCATCACCTTCAGAATCAGGACACTGACTGCAGAGTAAGCTCCAAATGAATTGGAGCCATCTGAAAGCCCATAAGACAGAGGTGTCATTCCATCAGACACTATTTCTGGGTGCAATGTTCTGATCTAAGCAGATCAGAACAGCCCAATTTGTTAATCTTTCAGTGGGTAACAGAAGTGCTTCCTCTGTGCTGACAGCAGGACTCTTTGTAAGGCTCTTCCTGAGGACAACAGAAGAGTGACCCTGCTTGCTCTAATGTTCAATGTGGCTGAAGACTTCACAAGGCTGTCCTGGAAAGCAGGACATTATTAAAGAACTGTGAAACTAATGACACCAGAGAAAAGGGAAAATCTTGCACTGTAAGTGCTAAGTTTGGAGGTGAGAAAGAAAAAAATCTATGCAAGGAGCTACCTGCTGTAAGCATAAACGGAGTGCATTGTGCCATGAGAGAAAAGGCAGAGTTAAAAGCAGAACACACTTCTATACATCTTGAGCACATAGCTTATAAAGTCTGCAGAGATGTAAAAAGTCCAATTTCCTCAGGACAAAATGAAACAGTAGAACAGGATCAGGGTGGGTAGAAAAAATCTAGTCTGTAAGAGCAGGTTTTGCTGTTGGTTTCTGCCTCAGTATCCAGAGCAGTRTAACAGGCAGTGTCCTCCAGCTGTGGCAGGAGGACAAAGAACTGCTTACGRTTTGGAAACCTGCTGGGGTTTCACTAGACCAGGGTTACCTACCCAGAGGTAGCCCTCCTAAACCTTAATTCCTGGGTTTGTTAATGTTCATTGACTTCTGGACAAATGCACTAAATATTGTTACTTGTGTGGATGTTCCTGCAAAACGAACTCCTCCAGCATAAATATTCTGTTGACAGCAAATAATATTGACTGGCTTTGTCATTACTCTATGCATCACTTTGTCATTACTCTATGCATCTGCCCTCTGAGATCTGCTGTCCAAAATTCAGGCTCCTTTAGTTTAGCCTCTGGAGTTATTATCTGGCCTTTGCTGTATAAGTTGCACTGTGACATTTTGCTGCTCTTGGAATCACAAGGCCACAGTCAGTGGGAATGTCAGGCTGAAAAGGTTAAAACCTTCTCTGCCTTTTTACCACTGTTCAGCCTCAAGCAACTTCCAGGCCGAGGAACTGGGAGACAGGGGGCCTCCTAGGGGGTGCTTTGCACCCCGGTTGCAGCCTTCGCTCCTGGCRTGTGGTGGTGACAAGTGCCCCATCAGGACTGGCTCCGGAGCAAAAGAGGTTGTGCCAGTCCCTTGTTGCCTGGTAATAATTACAGCAGCAGAGCTGTGCCCTTCTCCCCCTTGGATTACAACTGGCTTCTAAATTTTGTTCAAGGAAGTTCAAAGAACACACAGCACTCACCTGAATGAGAGGAGAACTGCAGAAAACAAATGAACCCAAATATCAAAAACTACCCACCTACAGTCATTGAAACATATTATTAAAACCTTTTATGTCAATCTACAGTACAATGTAAATTGCTCCTTTCCATTAAACTTTGAAATACACTAGATTACATCTTTTAAATAATCACAATATTTTAAGTTCACTATTGGTGGTAGCAGAGCTATATTTACATACCGTTTGGGAATATTTCAGATGCAGCGTTGCGTTCCAGTCCCTAAGTGAGTTAAATAACAGAGTTTATGTGGAGGGCTACTGCTCTKACACTCCAGATGTGTCTGGAACCCGTGGATGTGTGAGAGAACAACTACTCCACTTAGTCTCRTCTACTTTTCTGTTTGTTTGTTTGCTGTGTACATGCAGCTGAATCTGAGCAATTTGATATCCACATGGTTTGGATTAAAGACTTTTCTTTATCAACAAGTATTTTGACTGAATGTACAGAAATGAATAATGAAATTTAATCCTTAGGAGTAGTGGTGGAAAATGTTTTTTCCAACCTTCCTCCTGTTGGGTAATACTGCACCTAATTTTGACCCTGACTTTACCTAATGCTGATGAAATATAGTCAGTGGTGGAAACCTTTCTCATGTGGTCAAGACCTGCTTTCAACACAATCCATGCAATGGCAAGCATCATACACCATTCCCCCACAGTGCAATATTAACAAGAAAAATTAGTATTTTCCTCCAGAGATCTGCTCCTCCGGGGAAGCCTATTTGTGTTTATACATCGCCCACATACAGACTGAGTCCTAAGGCTGGAGATTAGAATTAGGCTATGGGCCAGGCTCCTTCTGATGTTCATGGAAGAAAATCCAGAGCAAGTTCAAGCCACTGAATCTTTTGAGGGGCCTCACACATGGCCCTGCTCAAGCCGAGTCTCTCCTGCGTGCTGCCCGCCCTGGACTCAGGGCCGAGTGTGAGGAGTGCTGATCATGATGTTGGGCAGTGCGTTGCGCCGCTTCTTCCAGGAGCCCAGCTCCCTCGAGTAGCGCCTGATCTGCCTGAACCAGTGGTGAGTCCGTGCCCGGTCGCTGTCCCGGAACACAAACGCCTCCCGCCTGATCTCAATGAGTTCAAAAGTGTCGTCACAGTCGGGATCCGTGGAGACGACGCAATTACTCAGCCTCAAGGGCTCCCTGAGCAAGTGGAACTTCCCGTTATTTTTGTCCCTGATGAGCACCAGCACAGCATCTTTCACAGGCCCTGGCTCGGCTGATTCCAGGCTGGACTCAGACACGCGCTTCATGTTAACCAGGAGGAGGACCTGCATGTTCTGGAACTTCAAGGTCTTGCTGCCTTTCTTCACCCACTGGCCGTCAGGGGGTTGAGCCAGCTGCAGAGGTCCTTCCATCACAAAYCGTGTCTCCTCCCGCAGCCAACCTACAGTTTTGAGGGCAGTTTCTCTCATCTCAATGTTGATGACTTCTCTTTTCTTCTTGCTGTCCTGGCGAAAAGAGCGTAGGGTCCAGGTGTTCCCTTCCTGCTTGGTTTTCATGTTGATGTGCTCCAGGTGGGATTCGATGCGGCTCTTGGCCTCCCGCAGGCTGCCATGATCTGGGTGGTACTCAGTGGTAGCCTTGATAATTCTGCTGAGCAGCAGTGGGTACTTGGTGACTCTCTGCAAAGGTGCCATCAGGAAGGACCTCAGGTTCATCCGCCGCAGTGCTGTGTTGTCATTTTGGGAGACATTAAGGAATATTCTGCAGGGATTTAAGAAGAAGGAATGAAATGGTGGCTGTTCTGCCAGCAGATGCTGCATCCCAGGGTGCAGGGACCTCTGAGGTCCCTTCCAACCTTAAGCATTCTATGATTCTATGATTCTATCCCAAATACAAATGAACTACGTGGTGCTGACAGACACTGAGCATCACAATCTCCCTTTGGTTTTAACAACTTTGAGAGTTCTGTGTTCTCAAAAACTAACAACTATTTCTGCAGCTGTAAACCATTGCAAAGCAGCAACAAGGTGCCCGGGACCCCAACACATAACCTCTGCGCGATTTACTATAAAATTATTTTAAAATAACAAGTGTGTGATCTTTCCCTGGTAAGCACTGACATAGGCCTGTGGCAGATACATCAGTTTATATCAGATTACATTCATTTGTAGCTCCTTTAGTCATTAGATTACTAAATATTTTGAACAGGAATTTGGTAACATCATCATCTTATAGCTGTTGCAGGGAAAATGAAGAAGTGACTCGCCCAACTTTGTCCAACAGCCTGGGGCAAGAGATGGAAAACAAACTTAAGTCTTATGTGCTTTACACAGTGGCTTAAGCCTGGCGCAGAGACTGAGGATGGTCCTCAGTTACGTTATCTGCTGAAATTTCATCCCAGTGGTTAGTGGACAGATACTGGCATCACAAAATGCAGTACACAGATGGGACTAAATATTAAGGACTGCATAAATTTTGGAGAGTAAGTTACTCTCTTTGCCTCCAAAGAGAGCAGCTCACCAATGTCAAATATTAAGCAGCATGAAAAACTTTGATTTTGCTGACCTGAACAAAAGCCTCATCCTCCAACTGTGACTTTTATTCCCCAAATCCTCTCATCCTCAGAAAATAATACTCTCAGTCCTTTTCTTACCAAAGCAATGCTTCTCACCTGAGCAACTCCTTCTCCTTCTCCAGTGCGTTCAGCATATTCACAGAGGAGGACTGCTGAAGACAGTAGGTCTGAAAAGCTGGCAGCATGTTGACAAACTCCAGAAAGATTTCGCCGATGCATACGGTCATCAGGTCATCGTCACTCTGCAAGTGCACAACACAACCCCGCTGGGTTAGCTCAGGAGAGGTGGAAGCCCAGAGTCCTCCCACACTCAGTCCTATCAACATTAACTTACATGAACTTATTTGATGAATACCAGGCCAAAGTTAGAATGGGGCTTGTCCTCTGTGGTAAGGCTAATGCAGCAAGGCATAAATTAGCAGCACTTGCGGAACAAACAGGCAGGGCAGGCCTGTAACTCAGGCAATAGACCTGGCACATAACAACTTCTGCATTTGTTCTGAGTAACTGGCCTGGCTGGGAAGCTGAGTCTCCTTCAGCTGCRCTCCTACTAGCTATTTTGAGGCCTAAGTAAAAAAAGACGTCATGGAAAAAATCTTTTGATTTAAGGATGTGTGATACAGTAAGAGGAATAATAATAATCTGGTGCCACTAATGCTATTAGCTTTGCCTCGCTGCAGGCTGACAGGCTCTGCAGTTACTGTCCATTTCAGCAGCAGGAGATGGGATGGAGCAGCTCCCTTGCTGCTGCTGGTCGTTTGGTGCAGTGCTCAGCTCTGACTGCAAAGGGCAACGAGGAGGCAGATGGGAGAGGAACCTGGGAAATCAGTAGGTGTCTGCAGGAGTCCTGTCTCAATAAATCATTCATGGAGGACATCCTGACTGCAGTACACAGCTGTCCTCACCATGACAGGCATAAGACAACAGTTRTCAAGGTTGCCATTTTCGGGGATGTTTGTTGCTCAATCTGATGTTCAGGGTTTTGGAGGGGGAGGTGAGGACATGTGTTACCTAGAGGACAAAATATCCTGATAAAATTGRTAGAGCAGTGAGTGAGCGGTAGTTCCTCAAAGAAAAGAAAGAATGGAACTCTATTTCTTCTTTGCAGTGATCGTCTGATGCTCTGCAGTCTTACTTCTATTGCTCTGTCCTAGAAGTCCCTTGTGCATCGCAGGCTGCATCAGCAGAAGCTGCTCAATCACTGTGCTGTAAGTGCAGGCTCTCATCAGAGCAGGGAGCACCTGCAGTTGCCCAGAGGCAAGTGACAATAAGCTTCAACCTCAAGGCAGTCATAACCAAGACAGCTTGAAGGAATCAGCTCAGGCTGGAGAAGAGTGTGGCCGGCTATCTTGGTCTCCCTCACCCTTCTAGCTAGATCAAGCTGAGCTCTGTACCCCCACGGTCTTACCTTTAACAGTGTCCAAGCTAACTGGCTTAAAGATAACCTGGGTAACAGGCCTGAGCTGGGCTGATGTTCTACTAACATCAGTGGTGTTATCACAGCAGAGGAGCGAGACCAGCAGCTCTGAACTGGCAGAGACCTACTGAGATCACTTGCTTACAATAACTGAGGGGGGAAAGCATCAGACATTCTCTAGTCCAGCCCCACAGAAAACACAAGCATTTGTACCTGGTCAAAAGCCCGATCGATCTCCTCCTGGAGTATCTCTAGGAAGTTCTCATTGAGGTCGATGAGCTCCTGGATGTTGCTGAAGACACCAAGGAGCTGCTCCTGGCTCAGGAGCCCAGCTGCCTGCATGGGGAGGTAGAACTCCTCTTTGATGATACGCAGGTCCTCTCCATAGCTGGCCTCCGTATTGACGAATTCCAGCACGGACTCCTTGCGCTCCGTCCTGCGCTTGCAGCACTTCTCGCAGAGGTCAGCCCGCCTCTGGTTGCAGTTCTGTGCATCCGGCTCCACTGGCAGGTCCCTCTCTCCACAGTCAGTGCAGGGCCGGTGGGCTTCCCAGGCCTGCAGGGAGCTCAGGGTCTCTGCCGCCCTGTTCCTCCACTTCCTGGCTGAGGTCTTGCCAATGCCACTGTCTGCCCTGGCCACCTCCGCCGACCTCATCCGGGTGCCCTCACTGGCATCTGGGCTGTCCCGGTCTTCGTTCACCCCAACTATCCCACTGTCCGTGCTCAGGCTGCTGACGTTGCTCCAGTGGTGCCTGGAGCGGAGCGAGCCACGCGGGGCACGGTGCGTCTCATCGAAGCTGCCGCCATGGCCAAGATTGGCTTTTGCTACCACTGGACCTGAGAACACACAAATCATTACAGGGTCTGTTAGCTACACAGAGCTCACCTGGGAAGTTCAAGCTGGCACAGCCATGAGCATTAGGATCACCAGGGACAAAGATCTGGTGACAGCAGGACTGCAAGCCACCTCATCTCCTGTTTTGCTATTGGAAGAGGGGGTCAGAGGTAAACGAGCTCCAGGTAAGGCCTGGGGCCCTGCACTGCCTATGCCTGTGAGCTCCCTTGGGCTCCCTCTCCCCTGTGTCTGCCAGGCATGGACAGAGCCACACCAGAGTAGATCCTGATTTCTTGCACACAAGTGCTAAATCCAGAATGCCTCCCCTGCTCAGGTCAGTAGAGCTACTCCGTATTTACACCAGCACAGCAGGGCTCAGCATGCAGCCCACCAACCCCTCAAAGCGCGTGGAAGGTGGCTACCATAGTCTCGCTCCTGCCGGCGCTTCTGCGCATGCTGCCGCGCGGCGGCCGCGATCTTCAGCTCCAGCTGCTTCCTCTTCACGGAGTCTGTGGGCATGGGGTCGCTGAAGTGCGGCCGCAGGCGGCATTCCCGCTGCGCCTTGGCACTGTCCGTGCTCTCGTGGACGATGTCGGAGCTGGACCGGCGGCAGGCACCACTGGAGCTCTGTAAGAGAGGCAAGTGGGTTGGGGTAGGGGCTGGACACACTGCAGGATGGGCAAAGCAGGGCCCATTTTGCCACCACTGCRTTTCACTCCTCAAAGGAAGCAGAAGGCATCATCAGTGGTGGGATTGCAAACCCAGCTCTGCTACATGACCAACCCCAAGGAAATCTGTCCTCCCAGATCTGTCTTGCTCAGTTCTGACTGCAGGGATCCCACTTCCTCTGCCTTTGTGTAGCACTGAGGACAGTGGCTCCTGAATGGCCAGCCCACATTTGTCAAAGAGCCAGGAAGAAGTGAACAGCACAGCTCTGGCCAGGGACCCCTGAAACGCCAGCTCCTGCAGGAGGAACTGGGCCTGTCCTCTGGGGACCTGAGCTAGGTTGGCTCTGTTCTGTGACGTGGGTGCTCTGGCTTCAGAAGCACCTGCCTTTTAGCCTTACATAAGCTAGTGGCTTCACTGGAGACTAGAGAAGGAGGAYGGCTGCTCCCCCAGGCAGCGCAGCAGTGAGGCCAGGAAGGAGTCATTGCTAGATGCCTTGCAAGAGATGTAGTGGCAGGTAAGCAGGGACACATAACTGACTTCTGTTTCATTAACTGTAACAAAAAGGGCATTAGAGATTCCCCCTTTTTAATAAAATTTGATTGATCGTGGAAGTTGGGGTGACTTCAGATACTAGGCTCCCACCCTGCAGTTTCCTACAAGGGAAGGATCCCTCAGAGCCTCTGACGAAAGGAAGAAAGACAGSAAGAAAGAAACAAGGCTCCTAAACACATGTCCGAGCTGAAGTGACAGGGAAATTCTCTCCCTTACATTCCCTGCAGCTTGAGCATCGCCAGATGCCTCATTGCTTGGCTTGTTCTCCCAGGTCTCCGTTGCCATGGACATTGCTGTGGGTTCCTGGCTGTCCTCTGGAGGTGGCAGATCCTCTTTCCTCACATCACACTGTCCCTTGGTGGAGGATTTGGCAGCAGTCTCAGCATTGCAGCTGCAGGGGAAGGAGCAAATTCCAATTAACATCACATGTGTACTACCTGCCAATCCTGACACAGATGCAAAAAAACCCAAGTTTGAAAAAAAGAGCTTCAAGAGTTCAATGCAATTTCAGGCAGAAACCTAGCCTGGCTGGCATAGATTAGACTCCTGGGTAATTGTAGAGCTGTGCATGTGCTTAGGGACTACAAACACAACTCAATTATAGAGGTGCAAATTGGCTAGTTGCACTCATGCCAGCTTCACTTTGGGGTATCAAATCTGAGGTATTCATATGACATTTTTCTGCCCATGAAACATGAGGTTSTCCCACAGGGACCAGAAAAAAAACTCCAGGAAGCCATATCCATTTTTTTTCTACTATTTAAAGAGACGTTGTCAATACAGAAATCATACGGTTCATCTGGAAGAAAATCATCTGCTAATAAACATAATACTTTGAAACGATTACAGGCTTAAAAGAGCTTCCCCTTTGTTTTTTATCTCCTACAATGCAAAACACTCTGAAACCATTAACTGTGCCTTTTGCTGCACTTGCCCAAGACCCCTCACCATCTCTCTAGTCAGAAAAAGGTTGGTGCAAATCCACTCACTTGACAGATGAAGAGGCTGTAGTTTGGGATTATTATTTTTTTTAATACACACTTGCTGGGATGCCTTATTTCCATGTCTAATAAAGCATACTTGGAAGAACATCCAGATTTTGTTTTCTTTCATTTGGAGCTTATTTAATTTCTATTGGCTTAGATTCCTTTAAAAAGGCTGTCAGGCCTTGATGAGGATGCTTCCACATAGAAGGAGCCAGGGCAGGAACACACTATGGGTTATGCATACATTTTATGCTTTAAAAGAATTCTCCTATGAAAAACCCACTTCTTTTTAAAAGCTTCAGTTGTAAACTGATGYTGGTAGGTCATATAGCTACATGCAGTTCCAACACTGTCAGCTACATGAAAACACATGAGACAGATGGGCATTTTCTTTACCATGAGTGACAGTTGGCTCTGATAACAAACCATCAGCCAGTGCTGAAACCACTTGAGAGGGAACAAATCTCCCAGAACACAAACTAGCTCTGTTGTCAAGCCAGAAAAGTCAGTTTGCAACTTTCCAGTTGATGCTGTTTCATTTTTCTCCATTTATGCTTCCATGGCCCAGCTCACACTAACGAAGGATTTACAATTTATAAAAGGGTTTAGTGTCGGTGCAATGTTAACATGCAGCTCGTGGTTTTAGCTTTTTGCATTGCTACTTCCCTGCCATGTAGGTTTGGACAAATCATTTCACCTCTCCAGACCCTTCTTTCCCTGCCTGTAGAAAGGAAGAGGCTGTATTACAGACCTGTATACAGACCTGCAGCCTGTGAAATGATTTGGGTTTAAAAAAAATGTTCTCTCTCATAGGTACTTATTCTCAAATCAGTCCATATCATTGACGCAGTTGCACAGGGCACAGCTGAGGGAGGGAAGGGAGTGAAGAGGGAGCAAGAAAACTCTTGCAAGGGACCTGCCACTGTGAGCAAAGCACCATTTCCCAAACCCGCTCTTCCCCAGACAGCTTCTGGCTGAAATACTTAAAAAGAAAGGAAATTTCTGAGACATGGAAAGGTTGAAGGTCAGTTCAAGACCTTCTCTTCTTGATCACACCACTTCCCACCATAGAGTCCGTGCTCTCAGACAGAAGCTGAGCTTTCATTAGACATTTTTACAGTGCTTCAAGATCATCCTCTGAAACACAGAAAGTGCTCTGGAGTATTACTGCTCCTCTAAGTGAAGCTGATAGCAAATTTCTACTGGTAAGGTCTGGGGAACTCTGTTTATTCAAACCTTAAAACTGAACTGAACACACTGGCTTAAGGCATCATCTTTGTGTCACCCCTAATAAACCAAATCACTCTTTCTTTCAAGCCTGCTTCCTCAGCTGTGTCTTTTTTTTTTTCTTTCTCTTTTGCAACTTTTTGTTATCATCTTTTCATCCCATTTCATAGACAGGAGCCCCATCCTTATCTTGAGCTCTTTGCAACTTAGACAGATTGAGAAAGTGGAATACATATTAAAATGCGTAAAAGATTTCCACCTAGATCTTGAGCTAAAGGTATCCAGCAACTCATAAACTGCCATCATTATAAAACTGCAAATCAAACAAATGCTCAATGCTGAAATATTAAGCCACTTAAGTGAACTGTAAGTAAAGAATTACGAATTTCTGGGGGGACAATTAAGCCACCAGACAAAACTGTTTTGTAAAACTGCAACACTTTCACAAAATCACCTGAAAGACAGTCTCAGCTCTTTTACTAACCTCCATCTCAGCATCTATAGCAAAGATTTGACTTTACTCTTCCTGAGCTCAATGCCTGTGGAAATGGAAATGAATGCCTAATTTCTGACTCATTTCATTGAGAAAATGAGGAAATGAGAAAAAGTGGAACCTGCACTCCAGTGAGTGTAACTTAACATAAAACTCCCAAATCCAAGCCTCTGCAGTAAGAATCAGGTTGAGTTATGAAYGAATCTTCAGTCAGTTTACAGTCTCAGGTGAAAATGATAGAAAAGTGAGAAATTTCCACTCAAAGGAAACTGGAATTAATTAGTTCTTTGCCAAAAGATCCACTTTTCTACTGCTCTTCAGAAGAAATAACAGCTTTTCCATTAATTGTTACTACTACCTAAAATAAACAAGCTTGTGTGGCTCTTCCACTAAAACAGTCTCTCCAATCATGGAATCACAGTCATTCATGCTTTCAGATGAGTTCCCATTTTCACGCTAATAAACTCACTTCATATTTTTTAACAAATCTAAATGAAAGGTCTGGGCCATGCACAGAAAMTGAAATGACTGAGGATATTAAAAGCACAGAAACCACAATAAAATCATAAGGTCCCTCAACAGAAGGTAACTGGAGACTGGGAGAGTAGTAGGGAGAAATACCACCCGCACCACCCATTTCTTGTGCACAYTGCTGTGCATGCACTTCTGACCCCAGATACTAGTGAGACCTTTGATGTGTCTAGTGACAGCTCCTCTTGTGCTCTTACTCACAGACTATGTTATTTCTGTGTATTTCATCTTACATCAATAACAAAAAATAACCTAGTCAATGAAAATGGTTGCACACCATATCTTCCTCATCTATTTCTTCATCAGCTTTTCATGCTCCAGTACAACAGCAAAAAGGCTGGACTGGACAGGTGAACCAAGCATTTAGGGCTCTGACACCACCTAGCTCTCTTTGGACTGCAAAATTGAAGTAGTATTTCTGCTTGTCACTTCAACTCTGTCTACACAGGCAGTTTCAGCTCCAAAACGCTTCTAGATGACTYTCATTCCTGTGTAGAAGTCCATTTCTTCTAAAAATTGAGTCCAGCCCTAGAGTTCTAGCATTCCAGAAATATAAGCCAGTTCAAGGCTGGAATCCTGGCATTTTACACACTATATCCATGGATGTTGTAAGCAGTCAGGAACCAAGTCAAATGTACTTCTTGGAAAAGTCAGTCCTGAAACCCAAATTTATGGAAAAAGACACTCTATGGAAAAACACTCTACCAACATCTACTCTTCCTTCTTCATTCAGCCTTTTCTAGTGATGAGCTAGTGGTAACTAACTGGTCCAAATTCCTAGCTCCTCTTCCAGAGCTTCACTGCTTCTTGTTTGGCCATCTGCCTGTACGGGAAGGCAGGATTATCTATTGCTTCAGAAGGCAGGAGCAGGACTGCAATATCCAAAACCAGGCTGGAGGGAGCAGTCCTTGTGAATGCCCTGCCTAGAGAAGGGGAAAACCTCAGGTGGAGGAGAGGGAGAAAGACATTATGGAAGGATTTTCAGGCACTAATTACACTATCTRAGTTGGCACGGAGATGGTATTTGCAAACACTTTCACTCGTTGCCTGTGCTGGTCTTCAGAGGGTGGCAGAAAGAGAGAAAAAAAGAGATTCTGCTCATGCAGTTATCCTACCCTCATTAGCTTGCCAGTTCTCTACCTACAGGCAGCAAGTGAAAGTGCTTATGTCTCACTCCTTGAATTCATGTCCTGTGGTGATGGGACCAGACTCTAAATCTCTCTTTGTTTTTCCTAGGAGGTTGTAGTTATACTTTGTATCTCCCTGCTTTCTCTACTTTTAACAGACATTCAAAAAACTACTCATCAATTTATAACGGAAATAAAAAGCATGAAAGTTGGGGCATCAGGACTACTATTGCCTGCTGTCTGGACATGGTTAAGGTGCCCAAAGAGTCAAGGTCTTGATGAAAATGCATTTTGAGAGTTAATCTCACACAAAAATGGAGTTTAAGCCCAACAGCATAAAGACACATCCACCTAGATATTGAACCCTAAAATGAAAAGCATTGCCTGCAGTGTTCCAGCTACAGGAGTTACATGTACATATCAGGAGATCAGATTTTTATAAGGGAATTGCTTTCAGGTGACCCCGCAGACCATGTTACCTTTTCTTAATAAGTTCCAGGGCTGAACCTATGAATTCATCCTTCATTTTTTGTAGTTTAGCTCCATAGCTGGATAAATCTGTGGCTTCTAACAGCAGCGATGAACAGCAAGACGACTGGGCTTCAGACTGCCCTGCAAGGTGGAGGACATCGTTCAATTGTCTTGTCTCGCCTTTCTGCTGCTCATCACTGAAGGTCTCCTGCCCAGCCCTGTCGATTGCTACTACCTGCAAAGGTGATCGTGGAATTGGGCTAGAGCAAATGGGGACTGGGGACCTATCTGGGCTGGAGATCTGGTAGGTYGTGTCCTTCACCTCAGAGCTGCTCATCTCAAAACCATCTGATGTGGCTGGGCAATGGGAAAAGCCAGTAGAGATGTAGTTTTCATGGAACACATCATCCTCCTCTTCTGCTGCAACAGTGGCTTCATTCACAGCTTTGGTCTCCAAAACTTTTGGACAGACATTGTTTTCCAGGGTCTTGCTTGCACAAAGTGTCTTACTTGAGCACTTTGTTGACCCACTGCTGCTGGCAGATGAATTTGCCTCCTGACTTCTCATTAGCTTGAATTCCTCAAAAGTGGGGATGTAAAGCCTCCCTTTGCAGCGACCTTTCTGACTCTGYCCCAATGTCACTTTGACATCAGTTTCCCCACTGCTTTGTTCCAAGGATTCTGTTGTTCTRGATTTGGTCATCTCATGGCTTTTCCCAGTGTCTTGAAGGGTTAAACTGGGAGAGCTGTTCTGCCTTTGGAGCTGAAGCCTTCTCCTAGCCTCCCGCTTGATGTCTTCCGGATTGGTGATTTTGTGTGCCAGACACAGTCTCTGCCTCCCTGTGAAGCTGTGTCTGAGAGCAGTGTGTTCCACCAACACTGTGCAGCAGTTGAGAGCACAGCCATTTCTGTACTGCTGGCACACCTGGCATTCAAGGAACTCCCGGGCCATCAGGTCAGTCAGGGCTGCCTGTGGGCGCACTGGCTTGCTGGGCTCGGCCACCTTGGTGCTGTGCAGCCTCAGCTTCTCCTTCAGTTCTTTTTTGGCATCCCTGTGGAGGGTTCTTTCCTCTGCAGAAGGGAAGAGCCACTGAGGCACTTTGGCAAAGGGAGGCAGGAGCACATTCTGTGCCGATCGTGATGTCTGTTTAGCACAGAGTGAAAGCTTCCTTAAAGAGTCTGAAGTGCTCTGCACTGGGGTCCCATCCACACAGCCTTCTGACCAATGCCTAGTGCCTTTATAGTGGAAAATGATCTCATTGTCCAGGCTCCGGCAGTGAGAATACAGCCCAGAGTCAGCTACTGTTGCCCAGTGAAGGTTCTCCACGCTCCGACACATCCGTTGTTCCACAGGATTGGCCAAAGGTGCCTTGCCTGCGTGGCAGGAGTCTAGAGTGTGGAACTCCCCAGAAAAAATCCCAGTGTCTAAGTTCTTTAGGGGATGCATGCTGCTAACTGAAAAATCCTTTAAGGCATGCTGGACATAAAGCTGATTATTTTGGCAGCTCAAGATCACCCGGCAGTTTTCCTGTCTCTCATCAACACTGATGTATGTCATAGCAAATGAACATGGAGGCTCTAAGACTCTGGTGCCTAGGGGGAGAAGAGGGAGCTGGGGTGTCGCTTAGATGCCAGTCAACGTCCACAGACCACAGACAGCAAAGTGTGCTGCTGGGTACTCACATTAGAGAGCTCTCACATGGGTCGAGTCACCATGCACAGACCTGTGAATGGAAGGAAAGATGAGTTACTGAAGCAGCCTGATCACAGCTCCCAGGATGCAATCGCTAGTCTGCTGCCAGGGAATGCAGAAGCCAAACAGCCAACAGTGGACAGACAGAGCTGCAGAATTAGGTGATGGGCTGAAGGACTTGGGGTAGGGAGAGTCTTTTCCACCTCTAGCCAATATATAGATGGCTTTAAACTGCCTATTTTAATTCTGGAGCAATTCTTTCTACCATCAGCTATGCCTTCACAATACTGCTCAACTGCAGCCTCAGGTACCTCAGCAGCGCTTGCTGCAGGCTCAGCTTACTCAGGTGGAAGCACAAAGGAGATGGGAGATTTACAAGAAGCTCTTTTCTTCAGAGGGTTTGCAGACAGTATTGTGGGGAGCTGAGGAGAAGGCTGGGGTGGGAAAGGATGATGTTCTCATGTCATCCTTGAAGATATGGTCTCCTTGAAGGCTCAAAYAGCAAGAGGAAAGAAGAAGGCTGAATGGTGGTGGCTTTGTACCCAACACTGAAGACCTTTAATGCTCTGATTTACCCTTCACAAGCAGGGAAGTTGGTAAGTATAAGGGGAGGTGCAAGCATTTTAGAGACTGAGAGACAAGCACTTCTAAGCCTTTTCATTGCAGAGACTGAGATATCTCACTGATTTTCACGAATGTACCCTCCTGAACCCTTAGCAACAGACGTGAATGATCCCCACATGTTACAGCTCAGTGGAGGCACAAAAAGAGAAAGTGGTTTCCAAGGCTGTTCATATGTGCTATGTTCACCAGCACAAGGCTTGGAGGACCCAGCTGACTAAATCCCATGTTCAGGGAATGTAGATAGTTAAAACCAAATTTAAATTCGGAAAAAGTTAGTGGGATGTAGGCTAAGTAGTCTAAGTCATCCTTGCAAATGGAAGGAGCCGTCTGAATCAGACAAACCTCCATGCAGTGAACTAACTCCATTTAACTTCTCCCAAGGATTTATGTCTCATGGACTTGCCCACAGTCACACAGATCTTGTCTGCTAGAACCTAGCTTGGCATCTAAATGAAAAGGCAATGAGGGAGGACTGTACATAGAGGAGGAAAGAACAAGACCTGGTAGGCCCTATGGAGCTAACCTGAGCTTCATAAGGCAGCACAGAGTTGGGATGAAGGGAAGTATTGTTGGTACTAATAATGAGGCAGACAGGAAACAGCCAGGTTGAACACCCAGAACAAGGTCTTGGCAAAGCTAGAACCAAAGCCAGCCTAGACTGTTTGCCCTGTATTGGGTATGGGTTATCCACACCCTGCCAAGTATTGAGGTGACACAGACATCTTGGCCAAGGGCAGAATGAAGAGGCTTGTTTCTCTCTGAGGCTAAGTCACCCCACTCATCTAACYATGTGAGGCACAAGCAGACATCTTCCATTTCAGAAGAAATCTGAAGCAGTGAATTGCCTGGGGGYGATCTTGGTCCTGGTAGCTTGATTCTCCCCTTGTTTACAATGGTTCAAGATAATATACCCCACAACGTGTTAATAAACTTTCTCTAACCTAATCCCAGAGGGGGAAGGCAGAGTAGCTCMTGTGGATCACTGCTGAGTGCAGAATATTACCACAGCCCTTCATGCTCACTAAACATGGGTATTAATTGAAACTAGCTCTCAAAGTATGGCTGTTTCCCAAGATGTCATAGGCACTTCTCACCCATCTTCTCATGTTGGGATTCCAGTTCCCCTTCTTCACGGCTCAGGAGGAGCCCGCAGGCAACAGCAGAGAAATATGAAGCCCGGAACTTTCTGTGATCATAGGTTTTAACATGATCTGTTAAGAAAGAGAGAATGAGATGATATGAGAGCCAGACACAGAGTAGGAAACAGGGCTCGTGGTTGCACTGAAAGGCTCCTGTGAGAAAATGTTGTTATGAGAGATGTCACGGCCTGTCAGGCAGGCCTGTGATTTGATCACAACTACAGAACTAAAAGGCACAGTGGGCTTTCTGCATTCTCCTTTCAGACTCAGCAGAAAGGGAAAACGACCCTTGCTGTAGTGACAGCTGCAACTAAAGCAGTCATTGCCCAAGGCAGTGAGTTACACAGTGAGGTCTCAAGAGAAACTAAGGCCTTTGTGAGGCACGTTCCCARGCTAAACACACGAGGATACATCATACTTGCTTGGTGAGCTCTGTGTGTGTCTGTGTGTGAAAGGGAGACAGTCAGTGAAGAAAAAGTGAAGAAAGAGCATAGACAGGAGGAGAAGCAGTCATGAGAACAGCAAAGAAACAGAGAAACTCTGAGGCACAGAAATGACTGAGTGCGATCTGTCTCTCGCTGCTTCTTTCAACTGAGTCCAGGTCTTCATAAATAGAGGGTGCAGCACTGAAAATATGACTGACTTGATTGATCACAGTCTTTCTTCAGGTAGAAATTCACTGTCAAGCCCTGTGGCTCTGACCCATCTTTGAGGTGTAGGACAGTTACAGGGGCACCAAGCTTGGATGACTGGAGCCCACCTGTCCTGGCCTGCTCAGCTACAGGGCACAGGTCTGTCACAACACATGGATATTTGTATCCCTTGAGCTGATCTCTATGTTATATAGGGGGGCATTTCAAACCTGCTGAGAGAATGGTACTCATTTGCCCTGCAGCCACTGATTTCCTGAGTGGACATGGAACATGTTTGCTGTCTGCTGGACAGCAGAGACCCACCACTGCTTTGTCAGGGCAGGATTTTCTGGAAGGACATGGGTGTAGGGTGGAAAGTTGCTTTCATGGACTAGCTGGGAGATACATTCTGATGGAATAGTGGAGTAGGCAGAGAGTGAGCGATAGAGAGGGGGAGCTGGAGGCAGGACTGTAGAGTAGAAGACCCAGAGAAGATAGGAGCAGACAGAGTATATATGTGAGATGGCAGGAGGAAAAGAGAAAGGCATTTTAGAGAAGTTTCCTGACAGGTAGGCAGGCACCAAAAAATACTGTATTAAGTAAAGGAAGAGGGGGATTTTGTCTCCAGATCATTTGTGTTCATCTTTTGTCAGCCATCACAGATGAGTTTTCTTTGACTAAGAGGTGACTTTGCATTCTAACAAAGCAACTTAGACACTGRAAGTCCCTTTAATAATTTCAGAGGAGCTCAGAGCAAAGCGTACGTTGATGTACCTCAGAGGTCTGCACACGAAGGAGAGTTCAGTGCCTTTGCTAGAGTGATGGGACAGGAGCTCTGATCCACCTCATGCTTGCAACCAGCTGTGAAGATCTCATAGAAACCTGCCTGGACAGAAGCACCTGTCTTTCTACTCACTCCACTCTTGAAAGACCCTCTCTTTCCTACTAAACTCTTCTAGTCACACCRAATCCCCTCATGTCACCAGGCTGAGGGCTATGCACATCATTTCAGGTGTCTAAGGTTAGCTCCACTGAACACATACGCCAGTTGCTGCCCAAGCCATGATGTGGGAAGGAGCTTTTTATGTTGCAGCACAGCCTGCTTCCCTACTGTCCGAAGAAACCAGGAACAGGAGGAAAACACTAGTTTCTGTAAAACAGCATGAATAATTGGGGATAATTCTGACCTGGACTGCAGCCAGGAAACACTAAACCCTTTTCTCTCCTTCCCCAGCTCTTGTGCTCCTATCCTGGCCACACACAGCAACAGCAGCACAGTTCCAGCTCAAGAGTGTAATGTTGCCAGGTCAGTCATACTGCTACAACACAAAGCACGTGTCTTCAGCCTCAACTCCAAAGTAATTGTATTGCCAGCATGTTGCAGGCATTCTGCTGGAGGAAAGTGTGAAATGCAGACTGAATAAACCATTTGGTTAATATGCTTGTTATGCTTAATATGTCAAAAGAAGATTTTTTTATCACATCCTCCCCAACTCACTGTACATACAGAAGAGCTAAGCTGCAGTCATACATGGTTGCCATTGAGCAAATACTGAGAACAGAAGGGACATGGAAGAGCTTGTCCTCCCACTGCCTCAATGTTATAGCTGCAGAGTGCAGGGGATCCAAGGTATAGAAACCAGCAGATGCCCCAGAAGTGGGAGCAATGATGAACTGGAGAGCAATAGGAGCTGATTTCCTGCACTGTGTCCAGCTCAGGGCCCTAACTTCTACTAAAAGCACACAGCACTAATGCACCTTCTTTTCTTTCAGTTAAACCAAGCAGTGAACAGCCGGGTGTCATTCAGGTTGCCTCTTGCACTCTGAGCACTACGGGTTGAAGCTGCACCTTCATTTACCCACCTGGGCATTCCCAGGCTGCCTCATCTGCACTCCCACCAAAGCCAAGGCAATCCCCCAGGCCAACACTAGCTTATTGCAGGTCAAACAGCAAAGGGGAGCTTATTCCCACTGTTCCTGTGGGAATGGCTCTTTGATCACATTGTCTATGCAACATTTGCCTCCTTCCTGGCTCAGGGGCTGAAAAAATGTGGGCTGTTATAAACCTCATGCCTTAAATGAGCTAAGACTAAAGGCACGGGGTATGCACAGTTTATTTTCTACCATGTGATTCTGTTAATCAACTTGTCCTCCAATGCTACTCTGATAACTGCCTGTTTGGACACTTGCCATTAACCTTCATTTTCTTGCAAAATCCCTCCAAATAACTTATTTATCGAGGATTAAAGCTTGCAGGATAAATTATTCCTTCCCATAGACACAAGAACTGTTCTGCCTGGCTGACCTTCCCAGTAGAGCACCAGACAAAATGTCAGGAGGACAAAGCAGGCAAGAACAACAATAAGTCGTTCAGTTCTGGTGAAAATCACTATGTGGAGGATGATTCCTGGGACATAAGACAGGACTCTTGTGTCCCACAGAGTCTCACAAGGTCTTCAACCAGCTAGCAGGATGGGAAAGGCATATTTCAGAGAGCTGTCCATGGGATTTTAGCAAGCTATGATACTGCTGAGTTTTGTGTCATCCAACATCACAAACCTCATGGACACAGCATGATGTCTTTACTGCCCTGCCATGCATGCCACTCCACTGGCGCTGCCTAGCAGATCACCAGCAGTCTTAAGGGAAAGCATGCCAGGATGCCTATTTTCCAAGTTAAAGGTTAACAGAAAAAAATAGAAGTGCTTTAATTATATTTGTTTTCTTAGCTGTTCACTTAGCCAGAGCTGTGCTGCAAGAACTACTTGATGATGTAGGAGGTTAGGTGCCTGCAGTTACATTTCTTGGGTTTGTTTGTTTGTTTGTTTGTTTGTTTATTCTTGTAGCTAAAAGAGCAGTAAGGCTTATAAACTGCCTGTTATTTGCAGCAGGAGAGGTACAGCCACAGCAGCTTATTTAAGCCAGTGCAATTTCATGGGTTTCTTTTCCTTCTTAGTGGAAAGTGCTACGTGTAATGTTCCTCAAATTGATAGYATCATCAATGCTTTCATTATCTGCTCCATGGCAAAATCAGAATCACTAACAAGAGAAACAACTGACACCTTGGTCTCAAAACTAGATAACACAGAGAAAAACACATCCACAATTGCTTGCTCATATTTCTTATAGCCCTTGTTTTCTCAGTGGAATCAGATACATGGACTATGTCCTCCTAGAGCCAGAAAAATGCCAGGACACTGTATAAATTATCATGACAGATGACCATGCAGATCAGTTTAGGAATGAWGCCCTTATCAATGAAAATAACTGGAAAATCAGCCTTTTTCATRGCTTGCATCCCAGTTTTGTCCCCTTGCTTGGCACGTGGAACACTGTCCCTCCTGAACTCCTGGAGCCAGATGACTTCAATGGCTGTTAACACACTGCAAATATGCAAACAGCTCTGGTTCAGGCACCACAGATACGAATGAACACTTTGAAACTGATAATGCACTCTGCATCTCATTGACATGAGAAAAATAAAGATTTTCAGTGTTACCACACTGTAAATACTCTACTGTTTGTAGCTGACAATACAGTGTTACGGACCTAACTTTCTGTGTGCAATAATGTACACCTACAGTAACTTGGGCTAAATTAGCCACTTAAATCTGTAAAGAACCTCTTAGAAAATAGTGATACCTTTTCTTTTCCCACTGCCCAACTCTTTCCCCTCTGGGCAGGATGGATAGTTTAGCTATACTGGCAACAAGCCCTGGTACCCTCTGGAATAGAAGAGAGTAAGAGGGATCCCCAACAGTACGGAAACTGCCTGCAGATTTTGCATTTCAGTGGGTACCTCCTCATACTCCCAAAGATACAGACCAGAACAAGTCACATACTGAGTACCGCAGAGTCTGAAGGTCTCCCTTTACATACAATGTACACACAATGATATTCAGTTTCTGCACTGAAATGAACTCTTTTCCTGTCACGTTACATTTTCTATTTCCCTCCTTTCACATAATCTTTTCTTTTCCTTTTGTTTTCTGCTTCCCCAACTCTTCTTCCATCCCACTGCATTCAATACAAGTTTACACCGCCCATCTCTGGCAGAAGCTGAACAGGCACCACTTTAAAAGCAACCCCATCATTTACACTGCTCCCAGAAAACAAAGCAAAACAAAAGCAAACAACAACAAAAAAAAACCAAACAAACAAACAAAAACAAACAAAAAAATCACTTGGCTCTGATCAGGGCTGCCCAGTCAATGCAGCTTAGAGGAACATACTTGGCAGCTGCACATGCCAGAAGGGAAATATCTCCCTATGTTAACTGTTGGTCACGTTTAGAAAACCCTGCTATAGGGATCTACCAACGTAGATAATGTAATAATCACTGTAACTTCATGTGAACCTCTATTTTGGTCAAAGGTTCTATAGTATTATCTAAATTATCTAATGGCAGTGTAAAAGTGATCTCAATTTTCTATAGAATCACTTGAAGGTCSTAAGCATTCTTGGCTCCTTTTCTCTGCGGTTTCTTAAGTTGTATTGACCTGGACAGACTGGAGGACTGGGCGGCRAGAAACCTCATGAGGTTCAACAGGGGCAAGTGCAGGGTCCTGCACTTGGGGAGGAATAACCCTGG